ATTGCTAGGTAAATATTAATTAGAAATTTACTTCAGCACTGGAAGATTGGAACATGCTCAAATATAAATTACATTTAAAATAGCCTGATTTTAGATTTTATAATTCACCAAAAAGATGTAAAGGTGTGTATGATATTATGATCTTGGGAACTGTGATACATAGGTGTGTTGCTGAAGTTTAAATGAGAAAACTCAGGATAAGAAATTAAGCCACAAAATTTTTTACAGCTGACTTTAAATTCTTGATAACTTTATAAGTTATCAAAGCTCACATCTGAAATACAATTATATACTCACACTAAACATAAATGGGTTATGCTCTGTAACCAACAGTTTTATTTTGTTACTGGGAACATATGCAATTGTATGAATTGATTCAGATTAAATTTATTCCTAACAAATCCTTCAGTAGCATTCATTCTTAAATATAGAATTTAAATATAATTGACTGAAAATCACAACATATTTTTAAATCATGTTTGACTGATATATGTTAATAAAAATAAGAAAAAGAAAACTCAGTTATAGTTATATCTATACTTCTATCTAGTTCCCTAAATATTTAGGTACTTCATATCACTGACAGTAATTGAATATAGGAAATATAATTTATATAAAAAGAAACAACAACCTAAAAAAGTTAGAATTGGAAAAATTCATCTCTTCAGTATTCAGGTTTCCTTAAACTATTAAAGACTGCCTCTCATTATCAAAAGTTGATGGGTTAATCTTACACGGGATGGACTTGTGGTCTCAGTCATTTTCTTACTTGCTAAAGTTACACTGAATCTGGTTGGTGCTATAAACAGGGAAGCCTCAACTTGGAGACTTTCACTAACTCTCATATGACCTGATCAACACTGAATCACAAGATATGAGACTTAGCATTTTATTTTGTTTTTTTATTATTCTGCATGGATATACTTGTTGAGTAGATAAATAAAAAGTTCAACTTTTCCATGTGCTTAAATTGAAGATTTCAGAATCAAAAGATGATTGTTACAGTTAATAGAATTTGGGAAGAAAAGACCATGCTAAATGAGAATCAGCAAAAAAGAGACCTGATGCCAAATATGCAGTGACTATTGGAGAAAAGGTATTACAAAGAATTTGTAACATCTTTGCTCTGTGAAAATATTTATATATTACCCTTACTTTTCATAGACACATTCCATTTTATCTCTGAGGAGATTTCCAATATAAGGCAAATTCCATCTTATACTATTATTTGAATACTTGAGATATTTCTGAAAGGTTTTCCTGAGACTCAAAAAGTTCATGCCCACTAAAATACATATACATTTACTTTAATGTGTGACTGTCTTTTAAACCAATATATATTTTATTTATAAAGCATTTTATTACAACTTACCAAGATTGCTTTTAATTAACACTAAAATATTAATATAAATTTTATCCTGAATATATATTTATCTATTCACATATACATATATGTGCATATATGTATATGTGCATATATTTTTGTGCTTTGTTAGTAGTAATGAAAATCTCTGAAAAGTCAACAAGTTTAATTAGTAAATCATTATTCATACTAACTAAATTTTGAAGTGGTCATAATGTATTGAATAATGGCAAATAAAAAATGTTTTGCAAATTTTGATTCATAATGTTTAGTTTAACATCATCATCCATCTGAAATGTATGTTTGAGAATTTTGACTTATCTAATAACATCTTTCTTATAATAATTATACAATTTGACTGCGAAAAGAAACCTTTACAAAATATGAGAAGAAAGCCTCTGAAAAATCTACTATTTATTTAAGTACTATTTACTGAGTCTTCTATTGAAGGTAAAGTTAAAGGAACTGATTTATTCTTTGGATTCACATGATCACCATCATATTCAGACTTGCATGTGTCTTTGATTTCTACTAAAACTCAAGTACACAATGTCCTGGAAAAGCTCATGGCATTGAGTGATGGAACATTTGTCATTTGTTTAAAACCCCAAACCTAATTTATTTGCTTATGATTTCCATAGGTTTTTCTGAAGTCCTCATTGTACCACAACTCCAAAAGGAAAATTTTATGATATTCTGGTATTTCATGGGAAAAGTGAAATTTCACTAGTTTTGTAGGGGAAATAAACAGTTATGCACTGATTTTAAAAATAAGAATTATAACATTTAGCTATGTTACATAAATTTAAGGAAGGGAAAACTATCTCTGAGTGAGTGTTTTTTTGAGGATAATTTATATGTGACTGCTGAGATTTACAGAGTTCTCACATTTGCTTCCCCCACAAGGATTCTAAATCAGATTGGTTCAGAGGAAAAGTGAGCATACCCCATTTTTCTAATATTATCACTTCTCCACATGGTCCTGAAAACATCTATTCTATTATTTTTTCCTAGAAAATAAAGAGGTACCTTATTAGATATGTATATACATCTACTACAAAGTCTGACTTCTTGTGTTTTACTTCTTTTTCTCTCTCACTTAACATATCAAATCTCTTTTATCTCCTATCAGACAAGATGACAAGTAGAAAGTAAGCACAGTGATTGCCTGAAACTTTGTCTTGGCAACCTGAGCAATGAGAGAGTTAACTTAATGGTGGATCTTTGAAAACAAGTGACCATGGGAAATTAGAGTTGGCAGGGATTTAACTCTTCAAGAATCATGCTAGAATATTTTTAAGGGCAAAGCAGTGAATGTTTTAACCATGTTTGACATCTAATTAAGGAGGAAAAAGAAGAAGCTAAAAAAAAAAATCTCTATTATACTTTAGAAACAAAGTACTGACAATTGGTTACCAGGCAGATGCTTTGCCAAAACAAGTCTACATATAGAGAAGAAAGGTAATGATATATCAATAAAATCATAGAATAAAATTGCTTGGGCAATCCCTTTTATTCTTTTTGCTGCTCATTTTACAGCTTGTTTTATCAAATTGTCAAGCTCTAGGTACATCAATAGAATTGTTATGTAGTTGTAAGGCAGCTTTTGGTTTAAAGGAAAGCAGAATAAGTCTAATGGATACCATTACTAAGAAGAGCTCATAAACACAGTGTCAAATGTACACATCTTGTCAATATATACAGCTCACTTCATTTAGACAAGTTTAAAGCATTTTGTATATAACAAAAGACTATTCTAATGAAATACCATCTTCTAATATGTGGAAAAACTGGTGCCTCTTCTATTAAAGGAGAGTAATCCATTAACATGGAAATAAAATTATTGTGACATAGATAAACATAATTCTCAATTTTATAATTTATTTAGTACTTAGATAAGGATCTTAAAATACAGTAGATTTTAAAAAGGCATGTCATGTCTAAAACTTATTCCAAAATTATAGCATATAGTTATTTACATTTTCAGGAACTAAACTTGTATGTAAAACTCACTCATAAGAAATATAAACTTGGAGAAGGACCATCAACCTAAGAATTACTGGATGAACTACTCTCAGAAAATAAAAATAGAAAGCAAACACTGACAAAAACAGAGATAACATAATATCATATACTAGGTAAATAATTTAAAGACAGCTACTATATAAAGATATACCTGGGATTTAATTAAATACTTAATGCTTAGTATTTGATTATTTTTAAAAATCTTATATAAGTACAATTGCAATTCTGCTTGCTAATGTTTAAAATTCATTCTCATTTTAACAGCCAAAAAATTAAACCAAAATATAGTCTCCAATTCAATATATTTTATCTATGTAATAAATCTAAATAAACACATTAATAGGTGTTTAATTTTCTAATCCAAAAGTGTGAAAATTACATCTGTCTTTCTTATTTGTGGTCCTCATTCACCCTAGAGTATTCAGAAAGAGATGTTCCCCATCATGTGAAAATTAAAGAATATGTTTTCTGGCATCAGAGTAATGTACAGTAGACAGACATGTCTACAGAGAGATTCAATAATTTTCTTTCATATTACAGACTAAAAACAGAGTATAATTGAAGCTTCTCACTGCCCCACCCCCAACTGTAGAAATTTGAGAATCATAAGAAAGCAACACCTTAGGGAGTAAAACTACTTGTGTTAAAACAGTTTAATCTTCAGTTCCATTTTAATAATATCTCACTATATAAATATTTTCTTTCATGAGATTTATATACATCATATTAGAATTTACATTAGCATGATTTTACACATCTGCCTATAAAATCCATCTAAACAACTGTAGAACAAATATTTTCTTTAAAATCCTCATTAAAAAACAAGCATATACATTAAACTGTAAGCAGACCAACCATGTGATAAGGCTTTTTTTTTCCCCCTCTTAAATTTACACTTTGTTTTGAAAAGAAGTTCACACAACTAACTGTACAACTAGAAAGTAGTATCTCTTCAGTTCTCATTGAAGTACATAAGAGTCAAATAACATTATATTTCAAAGGTTTTAGCTTTACACCAATTAGCCAAATACACAGTCTTTTGTACAATCATAACACTGTAGAAAAACTAGTCTGTTCTTTCCAGTTTATATTCTCTTGGCAAACCATGATCTACTGCTTATGTTAAGCATCTGATTGTCAGATTTGAACAAACTGAATATTCATGACGACAATTAACCATTTACTGTCTAAAACTAAGAAAATGTAATTTATCATAACAATTATTATATGTGAGGCATTCATATCTACAAAGAGACCATTGTTGCAATAGTGGTTTTAAAAAATCTTTTAACAGGAGTAGAGTGAGAAAAATTTGCAGGATATACGATCACATATACCGATCTGTATTTACCAGGCATTCAGCTCTTTTCTGCAAATGTGATTAAATGCTCTTTGTTTGCATTTAAATTGTCATATATCCAACAGAAAGCATGATTTTATAAAGAAAAAAAAGTGTTTCAATCATCTCCAAAAGACCCACACAATCACAAAGGTTTCTCAGGTTAAACTCAAGGTTTTAAGGTTTAGGTTGGGAGGGAGTTCAAGGAATAAAAAGGTAGGGGGCAGCGGGGCATTAGAAAGCTGGCCAAATAAAAGGAAAAGAAAAACTTACCTTTGTAGGATAATTTCAGTCTTGGCACATTGTTTTTCCCATTTTGATAGTTTGCTCTTGCTGTAAGTAATACTCCCCAGAAAAGACAGACAATCCTAGCGAACCAGCCCATGCTGCAGACGCTGGGGGTTCTATGCTGCTTCAGTCTCCCGTCCTGTATTGTGCGGCCAGAGAAGTTCAAACAATCTGGAAACTGGAGGTAACAGGTGATTTAGGTCAGTTTCATTCATAAATGCAGACAATCAAGACCTCCAGGCAACACTAACACCTCTTCTTCTGTAACAGTCACTGAAGCACAGAAACTTCAAACCCTCAAAAAAAAAAAAAAAAAAAATCGAGCCAGGCACCGGATAATGAGGCACAACTGTTGTGTGGAAAAAAAAAGAAAAAAAACAAGGGCGGCTGCAGTGGTGCTTAAGAAGCAGTTCCTTTTATCTAGGTTCTTCTGATAGCTGGCGGACTCTAATCCTGCTCCCTGCTTCATTCGGCTCCGGCTCCGGGGAAGCAGAATGAAAGGGAAACACAGAGAGAGAGAGAGAAAGAGAGAGAGAGGCGGGGGGGAACCGTGAGCAGCGCGGACTTTTCCTGGACACATGTAGGGAGCGATGACACAAGATCCCACAGACAGGTTTTCCCAACACTCACTAGACTGGCTGACAATGGGAGATCAGGCAAGCTCAACCCACTCCCCTTCCCTCGTGTCACACAACACATGCAAAAAACATCTCGTAGAGATTAGAGCCGGGAGCAGAACCCTCCAGCGTGCCTGTGAAAGGCATGTAGCTATAAATTTACTTCCCAAGGCAAGCGTTGTTTTATAGCCATTTTTAGGTGCAATTTGGAGAAAACAATCTGAATTCTGCTACCTACATCATTTACAACTCACGCTCATTATAGAATTCTGCTTGAACTTGTGTGGTGTATGTGTATATGTATGTTTATGCCTGCATACATATGTAGATATGCATATATATGTCTGTCCTTTTCATCAGTATAACTTTAACCACTGAAGGTTTTAAAGCCTTGTTAGCGATTGTTCCCTTCTCCCAACAAACCCCCTTGGCTCAACCACCCCCTCCCCCGCCCCACTGCGATTTCAGGGAAGAAATTCCTAGTAAAGCCCATTTCAACAATCAGTTCGAGACAAATATAGGTCCACTGAGGATTATAAATTATAACAAGGGATTCTCAAAAGGATACTCAGAATTTAAAAACATCTACGGTTTTTCAGCTTCTGGAATGCTCTGGCTAAAGTCTTTAATGCATCACATCTCATTAATTAAAGCCACTTCCCTAGTTTTGGTTTAAAGAGCAGAGGAAGATGACGAAGTTCACAAAAGTCCCCACTGAGTGTCAAGGACCAACATAAAGAGAGTATCTCTGTGTCTTCATGAGCTGATGAAGGGTTACTAAATTTTCTGTGGACACGCATGTATTTATGAAGTCATGCAAATACCACTAATTCTTTCCTAAATAGGCATGTCTGAGGTGTTTAAATTTTCTTTTCTATTTTTCTTTCAGTTTTTCTCAGAGCTGATATCCATACAGGATTGTGTGTGTGTGTGTGTGTGTGTGTGTGTGTGAAGGGTGCATAAAAATCAAAGAACTTTCCCTTTATATTCCCCAACTCTCTCTACTTTGCACCCTCCCTCCACCCCAGGTACAACACACAGGTTAGAAATACCGAGGAGAGGGCTGTTACAATGATACAGAAATTACTTGACTGAAAGGAGAAGGTGAGTTTGCAATTAAAAACATGAACACTCATTGAAAGTGGTTCAGTATTCATATAAAAAAAAATGACCTGAGCATTGTCACTGCAGCTTTCATTACTTAATGTCTACAGACCAATAGAGAAAGAGCAGCTTTCTCTGTGCGCAAGTGTGTGTGTGTGTGTGTGTGTGTGTGTGTCTGTGTTTGCCTGAGAGTAGGCGGAGGAGGAGGAGGAAGAGAATGAAAAGGATTTAAAGGGGGAAGAAGGGGTGAGGGGGAGGAGGAATCCTGTGTCTACTCCATTAGATTGATTCATCAAATAGACCGTATTGCATTTGTCACTTCCCACAAGCCTATTGATCAGTCAGTATTGTTAAGAAAATAAAATCCAAAAATAATGTTGATTTTACTGATTCCCACACTTGTTATCCTGAGCACTTTTCATGCTCCGGGCAATGGATTAAGGCTACAAATGACAAGAGGCTTGTCTGTCTTCCATGGATTACTCTCTATAGACATTCATTCTGTGGAGGAATTCATGTCACTTTGGGATTATTTAGGAGATTGGACTAATGGATTATCCTATCGAAATATCACATATGATTATTTTAAATACTTTAAATAGTCGTGCCATTTTCACTAATATATATTTTAAATATTTATTTTTCTCCTGCTCTTGTTACTTCAAGTAGGAGAGCAAGTTTATATTTGTCAAAACTAAACAGGATAAGCAAATTTAGAAATGTATCCATTTCACTTGTGTAATGTCTAATCCTGAAACATTTTGATGTGTTCCAGGAAAAATAAAAGATTGTAGGTAAAATTCAGATAAAACAGGGTGAGAATTGACTCCATGGAGAAGAAAAACACTCAATCTATATTTTGGACCACAAAATCAGGACAGAATTATTTCATTTTCTAAAAGAAATAATTTAAAATTGAAATCAGAATTGGGTAACATAGACACCCCCATGTTTATATCCAAACTCAGATTTCTTTTTTTAAAAACTCTGATGTATTTATTTACATTTGATATTTTTCTTACTCTCTGAAATTTTTATGATCTTTAGGTCTTTTCAAATATTTGAAAGTTTAATGAATTCACATTTACTTCTCTGTAGATTTTTTAATTAAAAAAATGTAAAATAGGAAGTTCTTTATGTAAGTAAAACTGTTCTAGACTGATTACATTATAATAACAGAAAAGTGTGACCACAGATAGACTTTTTTTTTAGTGTAGAAAGAAAGAGAGAAAGAAAAGGGCAGAGAGGAAGGAAGGAATGTAATACAGGCCTGAAAAATATTTACCAAAGTACTTGTTATATTTCTACTGATTTCTGAATTGACGTTGGGGATAAATAAAGTTGTTTTCCATGTTTTCCTTATACACCCAAACGTGTGAGGGATAATCAAGGCTGAACCTATTTCCCAGTTGTACACAGGGTGTGTAATTGCTCCGTCGTGTCTGACTCTGTCACCCATGGACTGTAGCCCACCAAGTTACTCTGTCCATGGGATTCTCCAGACAAGAATACTGGAGAAGGTTGCTATTTTCGTCTCCAGGGGATCTTCCTGATCTAGGGATTGAACCTTCATCTCCTGCGTTGGTAGACGTATTCTTTACCACTGTGCCACCTATTTCTCAGATGAAGTAGATGCAAAGTTGAGATGGACTTGGGTGGGTGTTTATCAGAATCTATCAACATCTGCATGCTTGAAATGTGGACTTTAATTCGCCTCCTAAGAAACATCACTCCCTACTCAGAATATGTGAACTCAGCCCCGACACAGTCAAGCCTGCTGTATTTGACACATTAACCATTGATCTTACTGCATTACTTACATTTTTAAAAGTCAGAAATAATATATTGACCTTTTAACATTGTATTTTTTAAGGCACAGTGAAAAATCTTATTTTGTTTCTCTTAAAGCAATATCTCTATTTTCAATTATTTTCTAACCCACAATCTACATCATGTGCTATAATTAACTCTACTTGCAACTGAGCTCCTAATATCTTCTTAAATTTCAAGTTTTCAGATGTGACTAAGTTCTGCTACAGAGTCAAATCTGAGCAGGTGTTTAATATGGTGATCATGCTGTTGTATACATTTCTGTCAAATAAATCTGTAGTTTTTAATCTCGCCTCACTCCATATTGAGATGGATTACAAGACTTCCAAGTATAAAACTCTGACAGGCAGTTTTCTGGGTGGTATGCTTGATTTTCTAGAGAAGCAACTCTTCCAACTTCACTGCAAGTTGGTTAACTCTTCTTTCTCAATTAAGATTGGTATAGTCATAGAAGATACATGTTAAAGCAATTTTCCATAGGAAACGTATTTTTGATCTTTTCATCTATTAGCTAAAAGCAATGTGTATATTTTAAATGTCTACTTCATATAGTTTATTATTTATTATGAAACACACTGAGATGGCAATAAACATTGTGATTTAATAGTAGAAATTGTTCTAACTTGTGAGATGGTATTTCAACTGCTTCTCCAGTGTATAGACACCCTGAAATTTTCTGTGAGTGGTAGGCAAAAATACTTGCTATATTTGTACATAAAAGTATATAAGGAGAAACATTGATCAGATATAATTAAAAGATTGAGTGGAGTAACTGTACTTGAAGTTACAGTGTACATCACTAAACACACCTGTCTCTCCCTGCAATCCCACTCCACCCTGGTTAGATATAGAAACACCCTCAAAATGTGTGCCACCCACAGAACTAGAGGCCTCTTTAAGAGAAACTACTGAGTTAAGAATTTCAAAATGAGTTGGATAACCAGCTCTCCTATGAAACAACACCAAGAAGGAAAACAAATAGTAAAAAACAAATAAAAATTTCCATATTCTTCCCAAGGTGTTATTCAACTGAGTCAAGGAAAAAAAAAAACAAAACTGTATTACTTTCTATTCAACATCTGCTATTTCCTTTTTTTTTTTTCCCTTCAAAGGAATGCTTCATTAGTATATGAGAAAGGCCTATGATCAACAGAATTATAGCAAATGTCAGAGTAGAACATTTGCCCTTGCTCTGACATCTCATGCTGGAAATTCATTTTTAATGAGGGTTTTTCTGGTAAGGGAATTTGAATCTTTTTTTTTTTTTCTAAAAAAGAAAATGTGTGGGTGAAAACATTCTTTAGAAGATCAGAAGACATCTTATTAATTGGGAAAACTAAATAGTTGATGTATTATTCATTCTAGCCCCCCCAAAATGATAGTTATTTAATAACTACTGTGGTAGTCGCTGAGAAGTGGGGGTGGCAGGTTAAAAGAAATATTTAAGAAATTAAATTAAACTTTTTATAATCTGACCCTTATGAATGCTTTTAGTATAAGCCACACGTGAAAGCATGAGTTGAGAGGAGAGACTGGTAAGAAGCAAAGGGAATTCAGTCTCTAGGGAAGCATTAACTCCTGCCTTCGCCTCCTACACACCCATGAACAGAGATCTCAGTAGAAGAAT